TACTGGGAAGGGGTAACCGCTACAATCCCTATGACTGAAATTAAGAACACAAAAGACTGATGCAACGAAGATTTATTGACTCTCCAAAATTACGTCATTATTAGACCAAAATACAGTCATTTGAGTAGTAATATTTACACACAATAATATCACATATAGGTAGGAAATATTTATAATTACTTGAATGAAGTTAAAATGCTCGGATACATTCAGCTGATGAGTTGCAAAAATGACGAAGCCAGAATCATGGATTTCATTGCTAGTGACGTTCCATCTATTCTATCTAGAGTTACTGTGAAAATACACGCACAGCAAACATACATTACTGAGTTGGTACAGAGAATATAGTTGTCGCACTGAACGAAGTTCGCGGCTACCACCCTTGCTGAAATTTATAAAAAATTCATTCAAATAATTCTGACTGAAATAATGTTATCTTTTCTTATCCCATTATACCACAAATGTTTGAAAGAGATCTTCGAAATACTTTATATGACTTTGTCTTTTTGCTTTCTCCTACTTATTCATCGAGAGTTTCTTTAATACGCAGTAAATGTCTATCCACATTAAATTACATAACGTAATCATTTATTTTTCTAACCAAGTTAGTGATTACTTTTATCAGATATTAAATTTTAATAGTCTGAGTCATGGACTGACTGTAATTAGAGAGCTAGAAAACCATAAAGGACTGGATACATGTTTTATCTTAATATAGGACTCCTCAGTAGTGCACATATGTAAACTCACCAGGGATCGTACCTCTGATCCTTAGGACTGGCATTAAGTGCTCAAACTTCAGATCACCGAGTTAGGTCATAATACTGCATTTTTAATTTGATTCGATTGTCGATGAGCTCGTGGATATTCAGTGTCAAGAAGTGCCGTATTCGGATGAAGTAGCTGTCCGATACTTCTTAGTTTTTAATGGTTTTCGGAATAAGACGTCTCCGGTGTAAACTATAAAGTGCAACAATCCCCATTATCTTTTTGTACCGATCCTAAACTAAATATTTGGAAACAAACTTTAATAACCTTCCTAAGTAATCATTGTATAATGTAGTACGGTAAATTCATTCGCTAGACTTTAACACTACTGTGTAGGTACTAATATTTAAGTAAATTACTATTCGAGATCCATGTGCTTGAGCAAGGAATATAGAAGTGGGTGATTTGTTTCGAACCGAATTAATGTTTACATTGCAAAACGTGAATGATATAAAATTGATAATGAAATTCTTAACAAATTTCAACACTATCTTGTATTGGACTCATGGCTTTGATCCAAGGAAGTGATCGCCGTAAAGTTTCGTTGAAAAATTCTCAATTAGTTATATATTTCTCATTTAAAACTTTAAGCTAATTAGATAAGTCTACTCAAAACATTGATTAAAATACAAATCTCATTCAATAATTCTCTACTAATTCTTCTCATTCACTATGGTTTACCTGAGAAAATCGTCATTATCATACGGAATTCATACAATGTATTGCACTACAAAGTTGTGCATGGAGGATAGCTGACAGATACATTCCAAGTAGGGACTGCAGTCAGACAAAGCTGCTTACTCTCTCTCTTTCTCTTTCTTCTGGTACTTGACTGAATTGTAGAGATCTCCACATCTAACGGGAAGGACGGGATACAATGGGCAGGATGGATGCAACTAGACGATTTGGACTTTGCAGATAACCTAGCTATCCTATCCAACACACGAACAAATGCAGATGAAGAAAACTATTTTAACAGCATTCTCTGTCTGCATCAGTAGGCCTCAACATACACAAGGGAAAAAGCAACATCCTCAAATACAACATGGAGAACAACAACACAATCACAGTTGATGGCGAAACTCTGGAAGATGTGGAAAGTTTCACGTACCTCGAAAGTATCATCCGATGAACAAGGAGGATCCGATGTTGACGTAAAGGTGAGGATTGGCAAAGCAAGGGCCCAATTCCTGTAGTTGAAAAACATATGGAACTCTAAACAGCCGTCGACCAAAATCAAAGTCAGAATCTTCAAGACAAACATCAAGTGAGTTAGTTCTGCTGTAACAGAGTTAAAACTTCAAGGACTAGCACAACCATCATCAAGAATGTACAAGTGTTTATAGACAATTGTCTATTCAAGATACTCTATTTCCGTTGACCAGATATCATCAGCAACAGCCTACTATGGGAGAAAACAAACCCGCCTCCAACTGAGGAGGAAATTAGGAAAAGAAGTTGAAAGCGGATAAGTCACATATTGAGGAAATTATCAAACTGCATCACTAACCAAGAGCTAACTCGGAATCCTGAATGAAAACGGAAAAAAGGAAGAATTAAGAGCACACTGAGTCGAGAATTGGATACAGACATGGAAAGAATGATTAGTAACTGAAAACAAGTGGAAATGATTGCCGAGGATAGAGTTGGATGGAGAATGCTGTTGAGCGGCCTATTCTTCTCCATGAGGGGTACCAGGTGTAAGTTATTTTAAGAAAAAAATGAAACAGGGAAGAGAATAAAGCATCAGTACTATCATAGTTCACTTGTATAACAAAAATAAATAATACATTAGTTACGAAATTAAGATGAATCAAATGTAGAATAAAAAGAAAACAAATTGTGCATATAGTGATTTTATACAATTTTGAAATTATCATCAAAGTAAAAATGATAATCTAACGGTGATTTAGTAAAAATCACAACACACTGAATAGTTTGAAATATATTTTTCTCTGCTAGTGTGAAATGGATTTGCATTCAAGATTCTATAGAGAAGACGTGATCTGTGTAGAGTTACCTACATTGGTAGTGAAACAGTTATTCACCAATTGATATTAAATAAGGATCAGTATAGGGTTATGATATTGATCTTAACTCAGCAATCTCCACAACCCTATACTGATAATTATCATGTACTCACTGATGACTGACCTCAGAATGGATTTCCTGAAGTTCTAATGAGAAGCCATGGCCAGTGGAGTTCAACCGTGTCTGTTGTGAGACAATTACTTACTGAATTTATTGGTGGAGGGTCGTGCAATATCGTGGGTTGGCTGAAGTTAGATATGAACTCCGTTGGGTACCGGGTCGTTGGTCTAGAGTTCAATCGTTCGCGTGCGAGACCTGAGGTCCTAGGTTCGAGTCCCTTTAGTGTGTGATCGTGGATGAGCACCCCTAAGGAGTCCCATACTTTGGACGAAATGACCACCCAGTACTCCCAGGTTTTAAACGGTGGTCTAACATTGATCTATCGACGATATCGATTAAATAAGGACTTTATTATATCATTAGTCGAGTGAGATTTGAGGTATAAAACTTTCTATAATCTATTGGTAGGTATTAGTAACAAGGTCAAGAGAATTAACAATTTACTTTGTACATATTCACTAAAAGAACTGACTAGTTCAGAATTACAAAAACTACTGCCAAATGAAGTCGGATTGCTGGTGTCAGTGGAATTCAAGATTTGCTTTCCACTCTATTTGGAACTTTTCAGCTGGATGTACCTACATTTCTGCATTGATCTTCATGCAAAAAATTGAACCTTGTACGTTTCCATGAGAAAATACAAACTTTTACAAAGAAAAATCTCTAATATATAGTAAACACTAATTGTTGTAATCGATAAGCGTTAGACATTCTGATTCATCAGTGTAATAATGAAAACTGTGAATATTTATTCCTAGTATAGGGGTTGTTGAGATTCCGTTTCTAGTTGATTCATCTATAAATGAAAGAATGGTTAGAGAGAATATGAATACACCTATTTGACAATAACCAACTCAAAGAAATAAATTTCTTACATTGAACTGATTCCAAAAGAAATCTATGAGGTGACGAGCTTAAAATGAACATGAATTTTTTTCATTCTAGAATTCGCATCTACAGACAACATTAGTTTAGATTAAAAGAAGTGATAAAATATAAATCTTAAAATAATTGTGATGATGGATTAAAATAAGGTTAGAGAATAGAAGACATATTGTACACGTAAACAACTGTGAAAATTTGTATACAATCTATACAAAATGTATATTATAAATAAGCAAAATACATTTTATATATAACTGGAAAAAAAATTAAAATACGGACAGACCCGACTAGTTTGATTTGAACAAATAGCGGTTAATGGAGACATAGACATATGAAATTATACATAGAAACATGTTAGTAAACATCCATGTGAACAGTATTCACTCTCCAATATCCCTCTTGTATCCATGACCAATTACATAAATAAGTATATGTACATATATGCAGACATGTATACATGCATGTATATGTGTATATATGTATACAAATTTGTATGGTTGTAATGTATAAATACATAAATGCATAAACGAATACAAATTAGTTAGAAAGTGAAAACAATTAGTTGACAACAACTTATAATCATCTTTTATCTTCTATATATAAATGTTCATTCAATATTAGAAATAACAATAATAATAATAATGAAATTATTACATAATTTCACAATATAACATCATAATAAATAATGTTTATTTATTTATTTATTTATTTATAATAAATATAATTGTGATATTAGTTACTATGGAATATAATAAATAAATTTTTTTTTGGAAAAAAAAGGGAGAAAAATTATTTATCATAATCTTTTTTTCTCTCTCTTATCTACTATTAAACAATAAATTAAATTTTTTAAACTATACTCTTCTTTTTTTTTAAAAAAAACAACAACAAATATTGAACATATTGAACATATAAATGAAATTGTTCCGCGTTATTTTTAAAACGAATGTTAACAGAATTGATGATAAACTTGGGAAAAGAAATAGATACGAAAATAAACAAACAAAGAAACAAACAGAACTAGATCAATAATTAAAAACCAAAAGAAAAACAAGGGGGGAAAATGTATATAACATTACTTCATAAAACATTGAATTATTTTAATAAACTAATTAGAAAACAATTACGTAATTATCTTTTACTGATTTATTCTATTACTATTATTAATTATATAAAACAATATTATCAATTATTATCATTATTATTATTATTACTATATAATACATTGAACTTATGCAGTATAGTGATATTGTATAACATATGTGTAATCAGTGTGTTACAATTAAATTGAATTATACAAATTATTCAATTATTCAATTTATTATTCATTATATCAATGATTATTATTATTATTTAATTAATTATCAAAAATATTATTTAAACTCATCGTCATCGTTATCAACATCAACATCAACATCATCATCATCATCATTATGGTTATTATGGAAATCAAACAATATTTCAAAGAAACAATGTTATTTAATAAAAAATAATAAATTTATTAAACAAGAAAATTTTTATTCAGTTTACAATACTACTAATAAAACGACTACTACTAATACAATTTATAATAAATCATTTATATGTTTATGTATTATGATGATATTTTGTGTTCAAATGTCAATTTCACTGACAACAGGTATAAAGATATCAGATCAATTTATTGATAGTAGCACCAGTAATAATAATAATAATGGTAATGGATATGAATTTATGAATATTGAATTATTACGTCATATGGGTGAAGAAACATTAAGAACCGGTGGTGTAATCACTCAATTATTTGATGCAATTGAATTCTCTGTTGTACATCAACGATCTACCTCATATTTAAGGTAAGTATAGAATATGTATTGTTTTGTAATAAGATGATAATATGTTATTTATAAGTATGTATAATGATGAAGAATTATATTTAGTTGAAAATTTGAATAGGTTGAGATAAAATTAGGAACCATTTTAATTGTCTAGGTCTTTGTGAAATAATGTTAGTTTCTATATGAATTACATCATTAAGTACAGTATCTTAGTCTTGTGTTTGATGATCATTATGATGCTTGCTTGATCCTTAGAGATGATCGAATCCTATTTTCAGTTTAATTTTGAATGAAATCACAAATTTATAACATGATATTCTATATATCATATTATGATTTCATTAGAATTGCATTCTTTGAACTCGTTAGTTTTTATTTGTGAAACTTTCATCGTTTATTTAGGCGAAATTATCAGCACAAACTTTGAATGGTAATAATCGAGGAAAATTTCTTTTCAATTGATTAAAATCTTATACTGTCAATAATTAAAACGATTGCTGACTGTCATCTGTGTGATAAAATAAAACCAGTAATAAAAAGTAAATAATAGTTAACCATTGATAAATCAACATGTAATAAATTGTCATTTTTCTGTTGACATTTACAACAACATAAAATCTGAGTCTGTAAAAAAAAAAGAAAGAAGAAAAACGTTTACTTGCATGGAATATTTTGTTCCATATGTTTTGTAAATCAAAAGTTTATGAAGTATTAGTATTCATCGATTTTCGGGCACTGCTTTCATGCAGTGACTAGTGTATATTCAGAAAAACACTTCATAAATGATATTAATATCCATCCTAAATTCTTTATGGTCAAGCAAATTATTAAGTTTATGGTTATTACTTGTCAATGATTTCTGAGAGTATATCATGAACCCATCTTAACATCCTTAATCAGGGTTGAAACTATCAATATATGTAAAACATAAGTGCTATTGATTTTGCATTTCACATAAAATCCAAAGTAAAACTTTGCGGTAAACATCAAGGTATGGGACTCCTCAAGAGTGAGTATTCATTGTCCTAAGAAGATCTTCTGTGAGAACTTAACCTTGAGACCACCATGATATCATTCAATCTCTACACGCCTAACTTTGATCAGTTTGCTATCTTATACAGCCACCTCCAATTATCTTCTGTGAGTGACTGCTCTACATCTGACAAAGTTGGATTCCATTGGTCAGTGCTTGTTACAAAAGCTTCGGAAACTTACGTATGTAGTAATTTACTAATGAGCACATGAAAATTATCGGTTAGGCTGTTTGTGACGAATTTTGAGCGCTAATAAGATCATAAACCTTATTAAGCTAGATAATCAGCAAAAACTATTGATTCGAAATCATAATAAAATTCAGTATTCGTCACAAACCGCAACAGTAAGTAATATTTTTGTTCTATAATATTTATTTTAACTTGAGTTAAATAATAATACTTCATCAGTTTAGGTGTTGTGGAGATTGTTAAGTTTTTGATTGAAATCATGAGTCAAATGAAGCTAGACCACCATGGAATCGTGGATGCGCACTGCTGAGGAGTCTCATATTAGGACGAAACGGCCGTCCAGTGCTTACAGGTTTTCCATGGTGGTCTAGGTTCAACTGACTCATGATTTTAATCAAAAATAATTCTAATGTTGGATTGATTTTTTAGGGGAAAACAGTCATTATACTAATTTCAGTTATTTTACAATAACGTATATATTATGAAGCTGATTATAGATGTTAATTATATATATATATATGCATTCAAAAGGATGGTTTTGCGTAAGTGTCCATCGAGGACCAACTTCAACTGTAGTATCATTTCAGATAAAAAATCATCAAATAATTTTTCAAAATCTCAACAATACACATCCACAGATTCATTTAAAACATCAAATATAGATATTTAAGTCCTCTTTTTTAAGTCACTGAATTGGAATCTGATATTTCGAATTTCTAATATTAAGGGTTTTTATGTAATCAATAGGTAACCTTGATTGGTTTAGACTTCATACGAATTAAAACTCATCAAGAATTTTGAAAACAATTAATGCTCTTAAAACAGATTCTAATTGGCATTACACAATTTCATAGTCTAAGATATCTATTTATTATCCAGAATGGGTTTTGTGGAGATTTTTTTAAAAATTTCACTGGTTGAAATCATGAGTCAATTGAAGCTAGACCACCATGGAAAACTTGGAAGCACCACAAAACCCATTCTGATAATAATAATCACCTGCTCACTAGTGACTGACTTCAGGAGATACTCCTAGAGTTCTAGTGAGAAGCCGTTACCAGTGGAGTTCAACCAGGTCTGTTGTGAGATATCAGCTCACTGAAGACAATGGTGTACAATGGTGCAACTTCGTTGATTGGTTGAAGTCGAACATTAACACCGTTGGATGCCGGATCAGTGGTCTAATGGTTAAGCGCTCGCGCGCGAGACTGATAGGTCCTGGGTTCGAATCTCGCGGGGGGCGAGATTGTGGATGCTCACTGTTGAGGAGTGCCATACTAGGACGAAACGGCCGTCCAGTACTTCCAGGTTTCCCATGGTGGTTTAGCTTCAACCAGTGAAATATCTGTTTATTTTTCTTAAGTTTAGTAAATGTTTAAAATTGTATAAATTATAACAATTCATGATTACATCACTAGCCATTATCTCTTTATTGTTACTATTATTTCACCTGAAGGGATTAAGCACTATGTGTTACATAATCATAATCAATATTATTTCATGTACATGTTCATAATTTCAATGCATGAAAAAATTTTTTTTGTTTTTCATAAATCAATGTTTATGTAGTAGTGAAATACGTTGGGGTTTTTTTTTGAAAAAATGTTTTAAGTTGTTACTATGGCATATCAATTGGAAGTTTTGTGATTATGACAAATTTATTAAAGGTCATTATGTATATAAGTAAAGGAATAAGAGAAGTACAAAATGACCGACAACATTTTAATAATATAATAATAATAATCATAATTTAAACAGTTTATAATAATAAATGACATTAGTATTCAATAATAAATGTACTTTAAAAGCGAGTACTTTAAGTGTTATTTTTATAGAATGATGTGATTCAATGTATTTTTTTTAGAATGTATTGTTGAAATAAGCACAACTAATAATACCATGTCATTTTGATGGCTAATAATTCTAAAGATCTTAGTAGAATATTGTGACTTAATTATACTTGTTAGTCCTCATAGAGGAGAATAGACCAGTTAACAGTATTTTCTATTCAACTTTATCCTCGGCAATCATTTCCACTTGTTTTCAGTTATTATTCACGTTTGCATCCAATTCTCGACGCCGTGTGCTCTTTGGTCTTCCATTGTTTTGTTTTTCGTTTCCATTCAGGATTCCGAGTTAGTACTTGATTATTGATGCAATTTGATGATTTTCTCAATATGTGACCTATCAACTTCCATCGTTTTTTCCTAATTTCCTTCTCAGTTGGAGGCGGGTTTGTTCTCTCCCACAGTAGGTTGTTGCCGATTGTATCCGACAGAATACCGTGACTGGTGAAGTCCAATTTATTAACATTATTGACAGAGTTGGATTATAGTCTCTTTGAATTGTGGATTGATTTAAGTTGGAAATTTAACCTATCAGATGGTAACTCAACGATCTAAAGATTAAGCATAAAACCAGAAGTTCCTTTATTCAATACATGATCGTTTTTTGTTGCACTCTGTTAAGAAATCACATTCTAGGATGGAGCGAACGGCAGTGTAATCAAACTTGAAGAAACCCATCAACAAAAACACATGTTCTTTACAATAAATAGTAAACTGATATTTATTTTCAGAAGGGGGTTTTCTAGGGATTTTAGTAATTCAATAGTTGAATTCATGAATCAATTAGAGCTAGACCACCACTGCTGAAAAGTGCCATACTGGCACGAAACAGCCGTCCAGTGATTCCAGGTTTTCAATGGTGGTCTAAAACCAATCAGTTCGTGATCTCAATCAACAACTTAATAATCCTCACAACCCTATACTGAAAATTACCATTTGCTCACTAGTAACTAGCTTCGTGAAGGAATTCTCGGAGTTCTAGTGAGAAGCCGTGACCAGTGGAGTTGATCTATGTCAGGTAGAGACATATCTACCTCAGTACAATGAAAGATGGTCGTTAAGGTTAAGGTTAGACAATAACACCGTTGGATGCCGGCTTAGTGGTCTAGAGGTTAAGTGTTCGCTCGTGAAACCGAAGGCCCTAGGTTCAAACCATGAGAGCGGGGTCGTGCATGCTTACTTCTGAGGAGTCCTACAATAGGGCGAAACGGCCGTTCAGTGCTTTCAAGTTTTTCATGGTGGTCTAACATCAATCAGTTCATGGTCTCAATTTTAAAAAATTGTTAACTACTATCTCTTTCTAAAGAAAGAAAGAAATTTACATCTTATGTCATTCAGTTATTTGTCTTGTTTGATTAGGAAATCAATAATAGCTTACAAATTTTTAATTTATTAGATTGAGAATAACCGTGAAGATATGAAATTAGAAAAAAATAATTTTGTATTTGTAAGTATAAAGGTGAGGAGATTGTTGAGTTTTGTTGAAATCTTGAACCGGTCAACAATCTCCACAACGCTATACTGACAATCATCATGTGCTCACTAGTGACAAGATTTGTGAGGAAGTTTCCGGCGCTCTAATGGAATTCATGGATTGATATGAATTACACATAAACACCATTGGATGCTGACTCAGAGATCTAGAGTATAATGGTTCGTGTGGAATACCGAAGGTCGATCGTCACTTGCAAGGTCGTGAGTGTGCACCACTGAGGATTCCATTACTGAGACGAAATGACCATCTATTGTTCCCAGGTTTCCAACTTTGTCTAACATTGATGAGTTCATGACTTTAATGAATCTTCTTTTTGCTGAAAAACACTCTTAAAGTGCTTAAAATAATTTTTAGGCTCTTAAGTATTTATGTTATGCTGTCGTGACAGATTAGTTAATGTAAGCCTAAAAGCAAGACTTTAAATTCAAAATCTATATCGACTGATTTATATTA